GAAGAGCGTTTGCTGGGAGCAGACCCATTACAAAATGGCTGATATACGCAGAGAGGCCTTTGGAAGGCATTGCTCTGGTCTGACACTCCTCCATCTATTCCCAGCAGCCTTGGAATCAGTCAGTGCCAACCCTGGGTCAGTACAACGTCACCAGGGCAATGCTGGCTTTCTTTGGCAATAGTCAGTAGGACTTGGATTGAGCCTGCTCCTCTGCGTCCACGTTTAAACCCTGCAGAAGAGCAGCACGAGGGGGGCTACAGGCACCTTTTACGGCTGCTTAGGGCAGAGTGGAACCTGGCCGGAGTGGCTCAGGTGCTCTCCCCCCAGGGACAACAGCACCATGGTGTAACTCATGGTGTGGAGTACGAGTATTTCAGTGCAGACATGACTGGGGTGACCTGGAGGTACTCACCGATGATGACAAGCAGGAGAATGACCGCCACCAGCGCTATGATTGCCTTCATCTGCAAGGGGAGCACAGAGGAGTGTTACGCAGCGTGCCACATGTGGCTGCTTCAACCTGAAAGGAGGCCTTTGCCTTCCAGCAGCTTTTCAGCTAGAAAGCAGAGCTGCTCCATCCCTTCCCAGAGGAGGGCAGGTAAGCACCCCTCCACAAACCCACCCCTGCCTCTTCCAGTTCTCGCTCACCTTGCAGCCTCGCCACCACATCTGTCTCCGAAGCTGCTTGGCTCTGTTGCTAAAAGCTGTTGCATTGTCTGATAAACTTTCTGTTGAAGGAAAGAAAAAGAGGCGATTCATGAGTGCACACCATCAGGGCATTCCACTAATTCCACTGAGTTTTAAGCAAGAAACTGAGTATTAGGGGCAAAGACCCAACCACAGCATGATTCACCAAAGCCACAGCGGATCCCAATGTGACGCTCTTTGCTAGAGCACACACAGACCTGCTCAGTCCCACTGAGCCCCCTTTGTACTGGCCCCCCTCTGAGGACAGGAATTCACTCTGCAAGCCAGCAAGTGAGCGGACAGCTGAAGTGTTCAGGGCTGCTGGGAGGCAGACCAATCTACCTTAGCTTGATGGATCAACTAGATCACAGCACCCAAACACCTCCAAACTAATGCCTCTACGCAGAGTAGTGGAAGGCAAAGGTGGAAAAAGGACAATGTCAGCAGAAAGTCAGATCTGCAGCCCAAAGCTGGGAAACACCACTCCAAAGAAGGACAGAAACACAAGCCCAGGTCTGCCATTAGGCACCTTGTGAACTGGAACCAGGTAACCTGGCCCAGCAACGGGGAAGAGATGTTGAGAAAATGTCAGCAGAGCTGCATTTAGCACTGCACCTGATTTATCCTGCAGGTCATCCAGCCGCTCGCCTCTTTCAATCACCTTTGTGATGTTCTCCTGCATAACGTCGATAACCTCGTCCACCTGGTTCTGGACACTAGAGCAGAGCAAAGGCAGAGTGAGGAGCAGAAGCAAGCACCACCAGCTGCATCACAGCGCCCGCCCTTGCTCAGACACCCAGGCTGACAGGGTCTGGGAGCCCACTGACCAAAATCAAAGGGGACAACAGCAGAGGGAAGTTGATGGGATGCCGAGAAAGCTGGAGGGACAGCATCACCTGGGGTGGGTGTCTGGCAATCCCAGGAAGGGTGAGGGAACACAAGGGGCTTAAAGAGGGCACTGGCAATTTTTTTGGAGTGGGGGTACCCTCTGTAGCAGCTTGAACACACAAATGCAGGAAGAGAAGTCACTGGCTGCTGTTGGTGGGCAGAAGAGCTCACATCAAAGGGAAGAAATACAAGAACTGCACCTTGTCTTTCCAGATTTCATAGAACCTCACACCGCACCTTTGCTAAATAACTTGGGGTGAAATCAAAGCAAAGTGCGCTCTCTCCTCCGGGAACTGAGTTGCTAAACGAAACCCACTCTGCCAAGGGCATCAAGAGGACAGTAAAGAAATGGCTGATATGAACTAAATTAAGTTATTATAAGCTGTCTTCTCCTAGGTTATGCAACTCTGTGGGTAGTTGCTTCAGCAAAGAGTAGCCTAAATCACACCCTCAGGGTTATTATAAATGCATTTATTCACTCCATAAAAAAAGCCACACTGGTAAGAGAGAAAAATTCTCCTGGTGGAAAAATACTGCTACATTCTAGTGTGTATTTTGGAGCTAATACACTTTTATTTTCCTGGAAATAGAAATAAGAAATTTCTTTGGGCCCTAGGGAGACAATACATTGTTTGAGACATACTGTTCCCAAAAGTGAATGGCAGCAGCAATGTCTTGGAGACGCTACACACAGGGCAACAAAACAGAAATAGCTTCAGGCCACTCGCTCTGCATAAGCCTTAGGTTTGACAGTTTAGGTTGCCTTGACTAGAAACATTTAAACACTTTAAACATACTGAAGTGCATCCAGCATTTCCCAAACATGCAGCACGAATACACCACTTCAGCAACTCTCCACATTACCAGAAACACACACCTATTAACAGCACACCACTGGTGTCCCCAGAGGGAAAAAGGGTTGCCACCACCTCATCATTTGTGCCTGCTTAGCACCCACACTCTCCTGCTCCCCAAATTATCCAGCCACATCATCTCCCTCTTTGGACTCGTGCAGAACCCTCTCCTCCTCACTGCCATCTCACAGATGTTCAAAGATGTTATTTGCCAAATCAAGAGCTTTTACAGCAGCACCAGACCCAGCTCCACCACTTAGGGAGCCACCATCCCCCACCCAAGCTCAGAGCACTTGGCACAAGGAGGACATCATATCCTTCATCACGGCCTGGGAAGCTAAGGCCAAGGGAGACCCAGAGCAGCTTGCCCCAGGGCCAGTCAATGGGGCACTGCAGAACCAGGAACAGGGCCCCATCCTAGACGCCGTGCCTCTAGTTAATTAGAAACATAGGTTCACATTGACCTATTTCTCATGTCTCTCTACCAGGTACCTGCCTCTCATCGAGCAGATGGTTGCACTGAGACGCGCACGTGAGGAGCGGCTGCAATGAGCAATAGTGGTTGCAACGGAAAAGCACATGCCTCGCTCACATTTACTTCCCTTTACAAAAACGGGCAAGGAAAGTCATTAAAAGAAAGGCTTTTTTCTCCCCAAAAAGCTCAAGAAAGAGCTCCAGATTTTTTAACATGAAGGGGCTTCCCATCTTAGCATTTCAGGTCAGGCTCCATAGCAGCAGTGCACTGTGGCTTCCGGAGCTGGAACAGCCAGGCAACCCCTCTGAAGCCAATTTCTGACTCAACAGCCCTCGTATGGCACACGCTGGACTCCAGCAGCGCACGTAAAAGCTTGCTTTATTGGGGATACCACAAGAAACAAACCTGTCCTCTATGCTGCACCGCAGAGCCTGTGGGAGCAGCATCCCTCTGCACACACCTACGCTGCGGGGTGCCAGCTCCTGCCTCCTGCATCAGTGGCAGCCACCTGCCATGAGCTTCTTTTCTGT